GACACTCCATATTGTTTCTCACAGACACTTGACATTGAAAGCAAAAAGGTGGTTTTGTCACACCATAATACCTTTTTCCACATGGCTGTAGAATCTCCACAGTGTTGTTCTGTTTTAAATGAGCCCCAGTGTGAACTTCTGTGAGGTTTCTTCTTGGCACCCAGATTCATGCATAGCTTATGATATTATAACCTGCACAAATTGGCAATTTTCTTGACAAAATGCCTGCAACTAATTCAGAGAGGTCACTAAACCCTTAGTGGCCTCATTATAACTGAACAAAGGCATGAATTATTCAGATTGTACCATCTGGAAGGCATTTGTACATTCCTGAGCTTATTAACAACTGTTGTCATTGAGCAGTTGTACACTCATCCAACCCAGGCATCTTTCTTTGTTATTTTACACACATTTTCTGAATGTGTTGGTTGATTTTGTGGGATTTCCCATAAATGTTGCTGGCTACGATGTGTTAATAAAGAATATGTTTCAATGTCATCAATGCACCAAGATTTACTAAACTTCAAACTTTTGGCTTTCTACTGGTTTGGGAAGTTTGCTTAATGACCTTGAAATCCCAAGCAACCAGAAAGTGCAGCGGTGCAGTGGACAGACCGCTCTGTCTCACCGTGCTCCAGTCGCTGCGAATCTGCCACTCGCTGCAGATCCTGAGCTGACAGGTGGTGGTGGTCTCCGGCCGCTCCAGGTGCTGGCATCGGCCTGTGTGCACGTTCAGGGTCCGGTTCGCGTAGGTCTGCCTGCAGAGCACCTGCCGATGCTGCTGGCCCGGGCCGCAGGTGCGGCTGCACTCAGACCATTCGCCGATGTCCCAGCTGCGGCACACCACCAGGGGGGGGGCCTCATTACAGGAGCGAAGGGACATGGAGATGGACGCATAGGCTATGCTAACTAGCTGTGTCTCTGCGGCACCGTCCCACATCCTGGTGGTGTGAGGCCACACTGAGATATTAAGGGATGTTTAGAACTTTGAGAAAGCAGGTGTTTCAATCTAGTATTGGTTTCATTGAGCTGTGCAAAAAGACGTGGTTAGATGAATCTGCATCTCTAAGATTGCAGAGTGTTCCACTGCCTTGTGATCTATGCAGGACCTAACCCTCCATGACCCTGTACTGGATAAATAGTTGATTGATTGATTGATTGATTGATGGGTGGATGGATGGATGGATGGTGCGACATTGATTTGGGTCCCGGGTCGCATGGTGCGTTATGTTGCTGCCTCATTCTTCCAAGGTTGTGGGTTTGAATCCCACCTTTGCTCTGTGTGTGTGGAGTCTGCCTGCTCTTCCTATGTCATGTGTCATGCAAGCTTCCTCTGTGGACTCTGGTGTCCTCCCAAAGGCAAGTAGTTAGACCAACTGGCATCTCCAAACTGCCTATAGAATATGAATGTGACCTGTGACAGACTGACATCTGCCAGGATTCTGATTCTGAGCAGGATGAGCAGGTAGGAAATGGATGGATCTTTAGCTTTCTACTCAGGACAATCTTCAAAAATCTCACAAGAAATCATTCAAAATTTCAATTAAGCCTAATGACTTTAGAGTCTATTAGGAAAAAAACTTAGAGTCCACAGGAGCTCTCAAGACTATTATTGAGAGAAACCATTCAAAGATATATTATAGTAGTGCGGATATAAGGAATATTTTCCCAGTGTACATGGCAGATCAGCGGAAATACAGGGAAGGATCTCACAAGGCAGGACAGGGTTCCACGTTGCAGGGCTCCTCCTGGGGGCTGGGCCGGGTGGTTCTGTCACACAAGCTGTCGGTCACAGGCTGGAGGGTGGCACTATGGACACAGCGGAACACTGTATGCCTGGAGCCTGAAGGAAGGATAGAATAAACCTCAGTCAGAAACCCCAGACCGGGTCCTGGAACTGCCAACGAAGACAAAGCCTGGGCCAACAGGGCGCTCACCTCTGCCGCAAGAGACTGTGCAGTCTGTAAAGCCGAGCCGCTTCCAGGCATGTTCCTGATGCCGTCGGAGCACCTGGTTGTTAGGTTCCTGTCGGGGGTGATGGTACCCCTCCTGGTCTGAGCTTTCAGGATGCATGTATGCATCCTCGCCATCCAAAGTGTTCCCTGGGGAGGGGGTTAAGGCCCTAATCTTCACAAAGCGCATTGTATCATCCCTGCAAAGCTTCACTGTATTCTGCTTGAAGCCAGTCTGCTGTGTCATGCACGTCCAGAAAGACAAACTCACCCTCATTCTTGGTCTCTTGTGGAAGTTGTGGATTCTCTGCAGGAAGTAAGAATTCATAGTGTATACCAGGATTGGGCTGCTGGTAGATCATCTGAAGTGATAGAAACAATGATGATCACGATCATCTTCGTTGACATTAAATAACAAGATAATGCAAGAGCTGCAGAGTCAAATAGCCATGAAGTTTTATTCAACTTGGCAGCAGAACAGGATGTTGTAAACAGAAAAGTCCAACAGAAATCTAGGAACATACAGTAGGTGGATAGTTCAGGTCCAGAAAGTAAAAATCCAGACCAAGATTTTGTTTGAACCAATGAGTTGCGTACTGTAAATAATATCTTGGTCTGGATTTTTACTTTCTGGGCCCGAACTATCCATCTCTGACTAGGAATGAACATGCTGGAGGTTAAAAAAATACCACAGAGAAACTCAAAGAGTGACAATGTGCGATAAAATTTAGGCTATATAACACAGTTTATATGGCAGCTTGACATGCCAGCACATCTCCTGTGATTGGCTACTTACATAGACATCCAAAATCTCATTGGTGGGCCCCTCAGCCAGCAGAGACTCCCCAGCTGTACTACTGATCTCATTGGGCCGGCGGTAAGTGAACATGGTGCCCACCCCCTCATACTTCCCAGGCCTGTCAATGGCCCATTGTCCATTGACAATAGAGCGTCCAGATCGACTGCGCAGAGCTGCAAGAAGGACAATATGATGCATCAGAAACATCCAGACGAACTGCGCAGCTGCAAGAGGAAGACTCAGGGATGTATACAGGGACAGGGCCCCAGCTGAAAGCGGAGTGTTCCTTCCCCTGTCACTCACCGATTCATAACTTATGATATGTTTGGCCTCTCTGTATGAATTATGGTCCCTCGTGTGCCCCCACCTTAAAAATCCTGAGAAACACCCCAGGGGAGACTACAATGTGCACTGTAGCTGTGATGAAAATTCAGCCTCAAATTATGAAGGTATGAAACACATAAATGCTCATGATGTCATGAGCAAGGCTACAGTAAAATAAGTCAATTAGTTCACATCGTCAATGAAAAGTTTCTCCAGTCAACATGCACATTAACTTGATTTTTTATATAATTCCCCACCACTGGGTTGTCAGCAAGGGAGCACATGTGAATTGTGAATGTTAAAGGTTACACCTGTAATTGTCTCCGTGGCATCACAGCCTTTGGTTGAGAAAAGAACATTAGTGTTCATCCCTTTGAAGCACATGTTTTGCATCTTTGGCTACTTTTACTGTAGGGACAATAGCATTGGGATTGCTAAAATAATAATAATAATAATAATAATAATAATCATATTAGTATTGTTGATGTTACTGTTGTTGTTGCTATTGTTATTGTTGTGGTTATTTGCCATGAAGCCAATGTACTGTAGACTCGGTGACTATTTATACTGGACGTCTCCAGAATGTCCTTTCTTTTGTCATATGAATTGCTACAAAAAAAGCTATTTTAATGTATCTGTCGTAAATTATTTTTAGGTCTGGATGGTGTGCAAGAAAGTGTGTCAGTTTCAACTTTTGACCTGTTAATCATTGTGCTCAATATCGCACACCCAGCTGAGTAATCATTTGGTAGCTCAGTTGTGATAATCCATTTGGGCAACTGTGTTAGTCCAACAGTGCTAGTCAGTTCAGTCATGCTTTCTCTGCGTATAAATTGTTGAAAAATGAGCCACGCACCCAGGTAATTTTTGCTCTTGATCATCTCCGTGACGTTGATCTTGGTAGCACCCTCTGGGATCTCCACAATCTTGTGATATCCCATCTTCATCATGCTGTGCTTGAAGATGCCGGACACCAGCCGGCAGGTTGTGTTGTCACCTCCGCATACTCCGCACGTGTCCATCACGTTGCCTGAACCCAGGTAGCCATCACAGCCAAGACTCTGCACAGAAACAAAAGGAAACAAACTGGCAATGTGCACAGACTGGGATTGTGCACAGACTGGGAATGTGCTCTGAATTCTGCAGTAACATTTTGTGCCATTGAATATTTAAATTTAAAAAATATCTTAATTAACCATCTGAAATCAATCAAATCACTTAAATGTGGTGCCCATTGACCTGTATATGCTATAAGACCCTTGAGTTTACCACTGACACACATATGCCGTCATCTATCGACATTTATTGAGTAACAAACACATTTTAGCAAAAATCAAACCAACCCGGTCGCACTGCCACTATGGAGCTGTAGCTAAACGTGTGTGACATTGTCCCTTATGTCACGCAGTATATTTGACCTCCCCCCCCTGTAACGATCGAGAGGCGCCCAGATTGACTCACAGCCTCACTTCCAGAGGGCCATGGATATCATGGCATGTTAAGACAACCCAGCATTTTATGGGGGCCCTTGAATACATAAAATTATTAATTTTATTGGGCGGGGGGCCAATGTGACATTTTCTCAGGAGACCTAGAATTCTTTGCTACAGCCCTGACTACAGTAGAGATTATTATTCCTGGTTTTGGGGGGGGCGGGGGCGGGCTTTATGTAAAATTATAATAGTGTGATTGGTTATCACCATTTTCAAGTATAGAAAAAAAATTATGTTAGAACAAAGCAAAAATATTTTTTTTTATTATTTTTAACTCTAATTTGCTTGGTGTGGATCGCCCACATAACACCATCAGAATTTCTCAGTACATCAAGTTGAGAAATTATAAATATCCTGAGTCACAAAACCCATATTTTCTTCATAGTTATATACATATGATTGATGTATGAATGCTGGCAGTAAGTAAACTGTAATTAGTACAGTATTTGCAATAGATTTATTCAGCCTCCCACAGATTCATGCTCTTGGCAAATATTTCGTCAAAGAGGAAAAACTTAAGACTTCAGACTTTGACTCAGTCCTGCAGAATGTAATACAGATGCTGAAAGAAAGAGAAGCATGAGCCGAGGTCCAACCACGCAGACTGATTCCCCAGAGGTGGAAAGTTCAGGTCCAGCAAGCAAAAATCCAGACCAAGATTTTGTTTCAACCAAATAGCTGAGTACTCTGTGACTGTGACTCTTTATACAACCTTTGGCTGGATTTTTACTTTCTGGACCTGAACTATCCACCTCTGGTGACCACATACCAACAAGCGAGGATCATAATCTGTGACCAAGGTTAAGCAATCGGTTATGTAATCCACACTGGACTAGTGCTTTATATGATTATATTTGTGATACCTTAATATCTAAGGAAACATAGGTGGGCTTTGAAAAGCACAATAATCCCTGCACGTACACTTCACACTTACAAATCGTAACATCTCCAGACTGAACAACAGATGCAGCAGATAGGTAGGTAAGTACTAGCAATATGGCTTCCTGAGTTATATCCACAGCTCATGTACATCGAGAGGACTCTGACAGAGAATCATGGTTTATCATGCCTATTTTTGAATATCAGCAATACGTAGCCAAGTAAACTTACAGCGTCAATGATATATTTTTTAATTCTAAAAGAAACAAAACAGATAGTGTAGATGAATGCTAATAGGATCAAAGACAATAAACATCAGTCAAAACTAATTTGAAACTGCTTGTCTCTGTTGCAGATGGCTTAAAATTATAATGATGGATTTAGAGTGCGGGTCTTTGAATGGTACCCAAATAAACAAAACCCATGGTGCCTATTGAACTGAGGGGTCAGGTCAGCCTCTGGAGGCTGTTAAACCAAAGTATTCCCTAGCAAAAGTATGTGACAAAGGCCCAACTAGGTCCCAACCTGGGGGGTGCTGAAGAACCCAGGGGGGGGGCTGAACATCAGGGGGTTTGGAACTCAACAATTAGCCCGACTAACTTTATGTGCCCAGTAAAACCACTGTGGCACCCCCATAAAAATACTTTCGACCTCAGTTAGAAAAAAAATGACACCTTCAATGTCACATGCAATGATTTCAATTTCATAAACACTCCTGCAAATGGTCCAGTTGTAATCTGTGATATTTCTCTTTCTTGTATTTAGTGGTAAAGCACAAGTGAGGATTCCAGTGTTCTCCACCAAAATAATCTGGAAGCACCAGACTGCAAAGAAGACATAGAAAATACAAACACATATTTCACTTGCTGCTAAACATCTGCCAAACAGAAGACACTGGGGCAAGAGTGTTGGGCGGCCCCAAAGCTAATGTCCATGTAGGTTGTCACTGAGAAGTTTGTCACTTTCACTCAAAGTTCCTGTGGTCACTTAAAGGTCCACCAGCAAGCTCTAAAAATTCAAATCTTTTTTCAATTCATCATTCAAGGTTTTGTGTGGATTTAAAGGGTTTGCTGCTCACTACAGCTGAAGTTCTTTCACCTTCTCAGACAGGCTACTTCCTACGGATTATTTATGACCCATTGTTTCAATTCTGTCTATTGTATTGGGTGAACACTACAATGACATCTGCAGCCTGCCGTTCCATCTTCTCCAAGCGACATGACTGCCATTATTTGTCAACATCAAGGGAGTTACCCGCCGAGCGGATGCCTGTGGACTGAATTCCACATTCATCTAACTATTCAGAGACATATATTAATGCTAACACTTTTGTTTGAGGTCTACTCCTTAACTATTAAAAACTGTTACTAATCATTTGATAATACAATATATTAGCAAAAAAAAGACTCACTTACAATGAAATTTAGAAATGCATTACAAAGGTATCTTACCCCTGTCTCAGGAAGTACTTAGCAGTTGAAAAATGCTCAACTATACCTCAATTCAGAGTATACTTATTAACCCATTGTTTTATATTTGCAAGTGATTTACAAGCTGTTTTGTAAATACTAGGAGCAAGATATGGCTGTAATATATTTCTAGATTTGTTTGTGAATGAATCTTTTTGTCTATTAATATAAGATCAAGTGTCAGTGTTATGTCTGAGTATGAACCAGTAACCATCTGGGTAAGTCCAGCTCCTCAGTAATTTCTAGGGCTCTGTCTCTCATCACTGGCTTCGGGAGTCTCTGGCAATCGACCTGAACTGCTTTTTCACCCGACCTTGTTGTCGCTGTTCAATGAAAAATCCATTATTTCAAGAGCGCAAAATAAAAAAGCATTTTCTCAGAAACTGCTTTACAAAATAAACCTATAACAAAGTAATGAGACACCTCGAGTATTACAGACTAACAGTACTACTTCAAGATGGACGGTACTAATGTCCTAGATGGACTGAGGTGGATCGCTATCAGTGAACGCTAACTTACATGCTTTTCTTATTATGCATTCAATTAAATTCAATTCAATTTCATTTATATAGCGCTTTTAACAACAGTCATTGTCACAAAGCACTTTACATATAACCAGCCTGAACCCCGACCAAGCAAGCCTGAGGCGACAGTGGCAAGGAAAAACTCCCTCTAGCAGGAAGAAACTTTGAGAGGAAACTAGACTCGGAAGGAGACCCCATCGTCCTCTGGGCGCATGGTCAGTTCGAACCTCATATCCCTGTTCACTGTATTCCAAGAACTTGGCAGGTTACCCACAGTTAGTCTAAATGTTTGGACTAATCTAAGCTTTGTCTTCCTGTTTTAAATCAAAATCAGCATAACAGCATATCAGCATATTTGCTAATATAGCCTAGGTTTAAAATCCATCTGGAGGAGATGTGAGCATCAGTAAAGTTATTTCAGTAGGCAGAGATGAACATAGAGTATTTTTACTGGACACCAACTATATGAAGGTCTCACAACAGACAGCAAAGCACGAATAGCATTTATCTCTCTAATTTTCAAATCAGCTTATGGTTTTTTTTTGTAATATATTACGAACTAGCCATATGTACACCTTTTAACATAGGTTAAAAAGTTAATAAATTTTTAAAGTTGCGTACTGCAGTGCAACTTAAATAGGGCCATTTTCCCTAGCCGCATCTATAAAAGTTATACAACACAGGCTCCAGGAACAGAAAAAACAGACACCACCCCCTGAGGGTCAGGAGGGTTCAAAGCAGGTCAAGTTGATAAATCACCAGCGTGAATCTCTCAGAGGCACTTCTGCTGGTGAAAAGGCTCCACTCATCGTTATTTCCTAGGGAAGAAAAGTGACGATGAAGGTACAATCATCTGTTTCATAACACACCCTTTCAGGGACTACAGACACTCAAACAAACACGATTTTCCATAACTGCTTTCACAGATGCGTGTCAACAAGTAAACTCTCCTTTCAGCGATAGGAGCCTACAATGAATTCCAGAAAGAAATCATTTGTAGTAATTCCTACTGTCAAGTGTTATTATCGGATGACTGATGGGTAATAAGACATTCTTTCATGCCTCCCCATGTAAGATTTCTCCTGATGCAAGATGGAGTCTGCAAAAGCAGAGTCACATGAAAACTGCTGAGAACAAAGCTTGAGCATAATAAAACCTTCCAGGCTGTCAGCAAGTTTTAGTTCACAGCAAAAAGTAACTGAAGATGAGAGTCCAACCAAAGTTCCGCATAATCACTACAAATTATGGATTATGTGGATGTTCTGATCGAAATCATGGAAAATTCTTCTCATTCTACAGCAAACTTCTGTAGGCCTCAGAGAGCATGACCCCACCAGGCCATTACTGCTCTCCTGTGTTCCAGAAATTCCCATAGCCCACAATGGTGAGATCACATAATGACAAGAAGAGTCACCAAAGCTGACAGTAAGCTGATCTTTTCTAGCTTTTAGCCTCTGAAAGGCTGACCTCAAAATTCTATGACCAATGGTGACTTTCTGTTATGATGATGCATATTCATTTGAAAGTGTTGAACCCAGATGAGTAACAGCAATTGTCATGACATTATCTTCTGCTTTTTCTTTAGAGCTGCCACTTCAGTAAAAAAAAGCCCAAAATGATACAGCAGCTCAGCTGGTTATGTACTAGCTATGCTAGCAGAGCTTATGGCACTGGAATGCAGTGACCTGATTGTTCCAGTTGTTCAAGCTTAATCAAGACAACAGACAAGTAGTCACTGTATGCTTCATAGAACAGGTGTCACAGAGCACTACGTTGATAAACTCCATGATCAATGTGGACCGCTGCTCTCAAAGGTCCTTTCATGGCAAGGGGACACACTGTGTCATCAGCTGCTGCCACAGGCTCGTCCACCCCAAGAGCCAGGGTGTCACCAAGCCCACTGAGAAACGAAGCTGGTGGCACGTGTCACCACAACATGCACACTTTGCAGATTTTGTGAGCAAACCATGCGACATACAAAAAAAAAAACGGCTATTGGGCCAAAGCTGGAATCGTAGCAGTGTAGGTTCAAACAACAACTGAAGATCTGTGCATTTATCCTAAAGAGCAGGACAGGACAGGTGGCCTAAGATTAAGATTAAGATGAACTTCTTACTTGTAATATTTCTTACCATCTCGTGAGGTTATAATACATGTACTTTAAGACGTTGCTGGTTTGGTTTAACTCAATCTGTGGAATCACAACACTTTAATCACAGTCATCATGAATCGGTGTTGATTTTCCGGAGCACCTTAGAAAAAGCTCTACATTATTAACTTGGGACGCTTGGCCGCTGGCAGAATGACCCCCATCTTTCCAAATAAAATTACCGGCAGCTATTGCAAGAGACGGAACTTGTGAAAATCACTGGAATGATTTTGTGCTGACACGAATGTGCTTCTTCGTGTCAGGTCAGCCCCTCAAACACTGTGCGACATCTGCTTAAACTGTTTCCTCTGAAAAGAGTGAGAATAACTCTAGGAGCACGTGGTGGGTCTCCTTCATGGGGCGGCTGCACCAGCATCTCTGCTAGCTCTGCGCCGAGGCTACGGCTTGGGTTACACCATAAAAGCACGCAGTCGGTCAGCCACCCTCAAAAATAACACCAGCAGTAAAGACAACTGAGGCTCCATGCGGATTATAAGTTTGGCCCAACTTGGGAGTCTTTACGTTCCTCAGCTAATTATTTTCACATTGATATTCCTAAACCATTAAACTGCTTTGGACAATATGTAAATGAGAAGTGAAATTCAACATTGCTGCACACAGGTTATTCCTAGCTGTGCACGACGGTCTCTGCTTGACATCCCACGGCTGAAAACGTCTTTAGCTATTGTGTTAGCTAGACTATCAAACGGTACAGTTATCCCTCGGAATAATTACACAGGGAATATCAGGCTAATATCATAGTGTCGTGGCAGAGATGAAAAGGGAAAGGAATGGCAAACACTGGAAGGAGAACAAGAATAGATATTTTTCTAACAATTCCTATTATACACAGTGGATTTGTTAATCAATAAGCTGGGAGAAATGTTGAAAGCTTGGCATATTGCCCAGTGTTTTCCCTAATTTTTACTACTTCTTAATAATTAATAAGAGTTATCATAATGCAAGTCAAAATCTTATAAATGAAAATAACAGTCCTGCCTCAGAATAATGCTCCAGCCTTCCACAGTCCTTCCTGATACCAGCTTAAAATGAAATCCTCTGTCACACAGCACAGCAAAGCCAGACTGACTGTGAGATCCTCTGTCACACAGCACAGCAAAGCGAAACTGACTGTGAGATTCAGGCTGATGTGTCACCGGCTTTAGCGCATATCCGAGGACCTGGTCTGATCACCACCACACGGCCGGAGCTAAGAATCCAGATGTGCTCACCTGTAGATTGGGCTTTCCTGGGACACACATATGGGGGCACAGAAGCAACAGGAGTCCCAACACGGACAGAACTCTCCCCCCTTTAGCCAGGAGGTGACAACCAACAGGCGACGTCATCCTGGAGTGGGTTGACTGTCCCCTACTGTCCCTCAGTCTGTCCCACAGTCTGTCCCTCAGTCTGTCCCTCACTAGTTCTCCTCTGAACTCGGGTGCGGTGCTGAGCTCTGAGTGGAACCTTGTAAACTGAGCAACCAGGCGGGTGGAGTCAGTATGTGTCTGTGTGTGTGTGTGGGGGGGGGAGATTGGGGAAGGGTGGAGAGGTGGAGCGTTTTAGAAGGGACCGGGCGGGCAGGGGGGGGGGTTCTGCTAGAGACATAACCAAGAGCTGGCTCAACAACTAATCGTTTCAAAAAAATTTTTGTAAGTGGCAAATTTACATTTATACTTCAAACGTAACGAAAAAGTTAATGCCAGAAAACACTCGTCTAGCGACCACTGCGGTTAGCAACCATTCGCAAACATGACGGTAACAAAAAAATCATTTTCTGACCAATTCTCGCATTTACGACCACATTTCGTAGTATTATACAGATCTCCGAAGTTCAATGTGCAAAATGTTGCAAAAAATATTCACTTCATGAATAATGAAATAAATCGAGTATGGGTGGCTGAAGTAAAGTTGTAAGCGCAGTTGTGGTCACGCCTAGGATACCGTGATTTTCACTTAGCTTAACGACTAAGTCGTCGGAATGGAACTCGGCGGTTAAACGAGGAGCAGATGTACTTGTACACAAACACAGAAAGAAATACAAAGAGCATGACTGCACTGTGGAAACAAAGGAACAAAGACCAGTCAAAAAGCCTCCTTATCTTTGTGCTGTGTCAGCATCATCGCCACCGTAACATTGATCCCCGATTTCACGCCCTCTAGCCCCCCCGAGGTGATGGGGGGGGACAGCAGCAGTCCAGTTTCAGCTCCAATCACTGCGTTGTATGCCTATAACTCATGAAAATGTGACACGAGCACCTGCCTCCGTGACAAAGCCACGTTTCTGAAGTAACACTAATTGCCACTTTCCCACATGCCATCCATATTGCATCATTTTACTTTTAATTGAACAGACCGGCGGTTCAATCATAAAAGCATAAACCATGGAGAGTTACACATCTGCCGTCTCTTTGAACTCCTCCACTCACTACTGTATGCTGAGGTCCTTATAGTTACCTTCCTGAAGTCAAGAACAGACATAGAGCCCTCATTCTTTCTAAGAAGGCTTCTGTATCTGTGCGAGGCAGACAATAGGCAAGGCAAAAGTCACCCTTTAGGTCAGAGATCTCAGTCGATACATTCTCAGCTCTCAGTCCCTCACAATGGCATTAGTGTGTGATACCTGGAATATTTTGGCACACAATGACTATTCATGTCTGTTCAAGATTTAATGTAGGTTCCTCTGAAATCGCTGGTGGCACAGATTAAAGCTTACACTGAGTCGTATATCCAATTATGCTCGCAGTTGGCTTCCTTTTCACCGTGTCTGCTATCCTCACCGCAGGGCCTGCTCGCTTTGAAGGTCTATAGGCCCACATCCCTTCATGACTGCGGAAGGCAGCATCACCAAAGCATCCAGGCGTAGCAAAGCTCCTGCACACCACATCCATCTTCATATCTCTGAGACATGCTATTCAGAAACTCGTCATTTCCAGAGGATTCCGTTCCAGCAACCACTTCCTGGAAGCAGCATCAGCTCTGTAGTTTGTCATGTGACAGAAACTCTGTCACCTTTAAGCAGAACACTTTGCGGTGAGGGTCTGTTGCGGCATACATGTGTTTTTGGGATTTGAACTTAATGAAAATTCCGTATCAGGTTAAATTAGATTAGATTCAACTGTATTGCCTTTACACATGTATAAATACATGGCAAGGAAATATAGTTTAGCATCTAATCAGAAGTGCTGAGAGTAGCAAGTACAATATGTGCAGTATGTACAATTTGTACAGTTAAGAGAGTATGTACAGAGGTGGGAATTGTTATGTACAGTTTATGTACAAATAAGTTAAGTGAGCAGATAAGGGCATAATGATGAGGATAAATTAGCATTAGTAACATACAGATAAGTTCGGTAGATATACAGATATTCTATATTGTAATTTTGTATTTGTATTTTATCCCAGACTAAATTGACGGCCCAGTTCATAATCCAAATCAAAGCCCGAACAGGCAAACTATTTACTCCTCTGACACACTGCACCTCCAGCTAACTTTACACAATCTGGGAGGGTGGGGGGAAGTAAATAATCAGGACATCACTCAGCGATGGCAATTAACAACCTGCAGGTAGCGACAAGAGATAGAGGCCAGACACCCGTGCTGTTCAGGATTACCACGCGTTTCTGTTGGTGCAAAGTAACCAATAAAGAGCGAGATAAAGCTGTCAGTGACTGACAGGGAGTGGCAGCTCCGCCCATTCTCCTGTCATGACCTGCAAGCAGCTGACAGATCTATTAATGCTTCAAATCCTGTTACCATGTCAAAGGAGGACACAGACCGAACATTCCACTATATGGGGGCGTCGATAGGGCTGTAATGTTCTGAGTGCACAAATAAATGTACACTAATTAGTATAATTAGTGTGTTCTCATTCATTTCCAATAAAATCAGGCTTGTATCCCCTTTTCATAAATCTCTAGTGACTACTACTGTTAGAAAATAACCTGCCTGTACCATATGACCCTTGACTGCTCTTGAACCTCTATACATTTTTATCCTGCTCTGGGATCCCATTATTCCGTACCTAACATCAGAACTTGGTGTAAGACACCCACCGTTGAATGTTAATTTAACGTGACGGTTCAAACCATCCATACAGGTCAACATTGACAGAGAAGAATGATCACAAGCTGCTGGAACCCAGCATACATTATTGCTGTTTGCAGAGCATGTACTATAAATGCATGCCATTCCGCCTGTCCCGGCATGTGCCGTCTTCAGCTATGTAAGATCACCGGAAAATAAAATTCCCCATACGTGCTCCCCCGCCCACCCCCCAAACCGCCCAGCATCCAGAAATGTGGGTTATACACAGTCAATCCATTCTGCAGAGTCAAGTAAGATAATGGCAAGAAAAATAAAAGATTTTCTGCATTTTCTGGATCTGGGATATATATTAGGCGCAGCAAAGCCAGATGTGCAAGTCCCTTGATTGTTTCCTCCGAGCTACGCGCTTCGCCGAGGGAGGTACGGCAGGTCAATAATGAACAAAACAGGTTGGTGGGAGGTGGGGAGTGCAGTGGGAGGGGTCAGTGGAGAGTAGCCGCGTTTGTTTAAGTTCTTGAACCCCGCATTTCAAAGGAGCGTAGTACCGCAAGGAATAGACAAAAGATACAGTAATATCTGTCACTGTGCTCTCGGAGAGGTAACGACCCTGAAGAAAGGCCGTCGGTGATTTTCACGGCTCCTGATAACGACCCCCAGCAGCTCTGAATGTAATGTTTCATATGCAGACCTCTGTCTCAGCTGCCCTCTGGGTGACGTCCATCTCGGGCTCAGCTGCTAGCGCAACAAGCACCCAAGAAGCAGTAGAGGGCGCTAAAAGCCGCAGCCACACACAGCACAGCGCACTGCCACCATTTTCCTGGCACGCGGCCAGATTAAGTATAAGTGATATTCATTCCCCACACAATAAATCTGCCATTACACACCATCACCATGACTAGTAAAGGGGCATCTCCTCAACAGATCATAGAAGAAAAGGAGTCATCTGTGATAGCGAGACGACAGCCATCTCTACAGCGAAGGAAGTTAAAACAGATATGAAAAGTTTTTCTTATTAATGTGTCTTGATCATCAAGTACACTAAGAACCTGTTATTGCAGTCCTCACAGAAACATATAGATTACAGGCAACAATGGACAAATGAAGCTTCATGAACCATTTGCTATATTTTTTGACTCCACTAGATGGTGCCCTTGATTTGCTTTTTGGCATGCTTTGAGCCTAGATAGCACCATCTAGTGGGGTCAGAAAATACAGCAAATGGTTCATGAAGCTTCATTTGGCCATCACTAGATCAGGAGTGGGCAACCCTGATCCTGGAGTGCCAGTATCCAACAGGTCCTTACTGATGAGTTACTATCTGCCTGTGATCTGGTGTTGTTCATCAGAGACCAGGCTGGATAGAAAACTAGCTGGATACTGACACTCCAGGATCAAGGTTGCTTAATATAAATAATGAAACCCTAGTGATGTTTCTCTTAGCCTATACTAGTCGCCTTCAGAATACCTGTAGAGACATATAATTTTTGCATGTAGCAGAATTCCTTCCAAAAAGTTCATCACTCACAGTCCAGTAGACCCCAGAACAGTTATGACCAAAGTTCAACACAGCAATGGCAGTCATCCATCGTTAACCTTCCCTCAGCACATTGATCCCAGTCATGACAGAACCCCAAGGCCCAGCTGGAGGCTGTGTCTTTATGAGTCAAACTCCTTCTTGCCAATCATAATAAACAATAATGTATAATACACATGTTCCATAACATTCTCATTTATCACCATCCTGCTCTCCTGTATCACCTTCTTCTATATGACAAGCATATATAACCATTAGTGTATTGCCAAAATACCGCCAACAATTACAACTTGATTTCTGATGTACCTGTCAAGTTAAACAGTGTCCTCTTTCTTCCTGTTATCCGGAATTATCTTACAATCTAAATATGCACTGGGTTTACTGCTGGAATTTCATACGAGCCTCACTAAGGATGCATTCAGGGGACATTAATATCACAAGTCAGTGTTTATTGACCCGTAATCCAGTGGTTACGCTATATTTCCGTTTGGAGGCTTGCAAAATATTTGAAAAGGGGATAAGATTCTGAAGAACAAGCTGAATCATTAGCCTCAAAATTTTTATGTTGCTGTGATTTTACGGCACAACCTCTGAGGCTCAGTGTAAATAAGGGGGAATTATCTGAAGATAACTAAGTGTCCACAGCATGTATTCACATCCCTGCGAGTCAGGGGCCACAGACTCCTGCCCAAAACTGTATTCACTTCCCAGCTAAAGTCAGGGGCCACAGACTCCTGCCCAAAACTGTATTCACTTCCCAGCTAAAGTCAGGGGCCACAGACTGTTAAGTAGTTCATTGTCTGTGCTGTCAGGTCAGCACCACAGGAACCTGGACACCTTTTCCCATCCCTGACATACATATAGCGAGAAGAG